GTTACGTTAGACAGAGATGGTAGGTTGCTCACTGAGTGTAGGACCTATTCCTCTGTCCAATATTGTTGACAGTTAGACACTCAGCGTTACGTTAGACAGAGATGGTAGGTTGCTCACTGAGTGTAGGACCTATTCCTCTGTCCAATATTGTTGACAGTTAGACACTCAGCGTTACGTTAGACAGACATGGTAGGTTGCTCACTGAGTGAAGGACCTATTCCTCTGTCCAATATTGTTGACAGTTAGACACCCAGCGTTACGTTAGACAGAGATGGTAGGTTGCTCTCTGAGTGTAGGACTTATTCCTCTGTCCAATATTGTTGACAGTTAGACACCCAGCGTTACGTTAGACAGACATGGTAGGTTACTCGTTACGTTAGACAGACATGGTAGGTTACTCACTGAGTGTAGGACCTATTCCTCTGTCGAATATTGTTCACAGTTCGACACCCAGCGTTACGTTAGACAGAGATGGTAGGTTGCTCTCTGAGTGTAGGACCTATTCCTCTGTCGCAATATTGTTCACAGTTCGACACCCAGCGTTACGTTAGACAGAGATGGTGGACACGCTGTGTTCGGCGCCTGATGTCTAAGTAGAAATTAAGCGCATTAGTCTACGTGTTATGAGATAATATTAAATCACAAATGAACGCGTTTCTAGATCGATTAAAACACCAATATTCCAGTTGGAAGAGAACACCACCAGCATGCCAACAGTCATTGTTGGGAGCAAACAAAAAAACCGTAAGAAAGAAACAATTGCGGGACTAAGCATTTTGAAAATCAAAGCTATTACAATGTAAGAAAATGCGAGGCAATTGTGGGAAGACATACCGGTTGATGTTGGCAACATCAGGGCGAGTAACTCTCAGGAAATAACTTCCAATTCGTATTTACTGTTCGACCGAACAGATACAGTGGGGGCGGTATTGATTTGTAGATTGAGGCCGGGCTCTTTTCTATCAGAAGACATCTGAAACCGTTCCCCAGGTTCATTCTTAAGGAATAAAGTAATTAACGGCTATCGGAAGCGACCAACTGTGGGCTATCTGTAGACACGGGTTTATGTGATGCGACTGTTCATGCAGCTGCACTGAGGGGACGGCTTGGTCACTCACGCCGGCCAGGAATTTTCCCGGAGACCCCCCGCCATCATCACACTGTCACGGTCCCTGGGTCAAGCAATCAGCTGATTATTGGGCACGCGACGACACGTGTGGATGTCGTCCCTCCTCTCCAATGTCAACAAAGAACATTTGCATCCCGCATTCTTTATTGTAAAGTAGCCAGGCGTACAATGTCAATAGCCACATTGGCTGTCTGTCACGGATGAGGGCGCTGGTTGTTGTGCATCGACATCACTGATGATTAAACGTGATCACAAACAGGGCAGCTCGTATTCCAACAAAGGCTCGTCCAACTGCTCCCCTTATCTCACAAATCAAGGAAACAGTAATAGCATATAAACAATCATGAATTCGTGGAAAAAATGTATTAATAATGGACTTTGTGATCCGCTTCCTCGCCAGTAACAATAACTACCAGAAAGGCAAACGAAGGTAAGATGTCAGGTGGGATTGCCCCATTGTAAGGTCTTCCCGAATAAAGCCAGCTTGGCACTGTGGCTAATGTTAGAATTGTGGTAATGTAGAAGCCACGCATCACAATTGCCCCAGGTGGGATTGATTTATGCACGGCCATCAAAGCAATGATTCACGGAATATTTCCAGGTACCAAATTATTTTAAGGATTTGGTTGACTTGTCGCAAATTATCCCGATGAATTATAAACTACCACAGTGACCACTCTAACGATACATGATGGCACATATTTCCTGTCATGACTTCACATCGCCATCTGAATCTGTGCAGTTGGCATTATCATTTCCAAACCAATTTCTCGACAAATACTGCATTTTCTCGTCCAAATATCAATGCTGCCGTCCTTTTGGAACATAATTTGTGATTTACTTTATACCTGTGAGATACGACCATACCACATGCATTACTCACGCCTTATTTGAATCTGGCACAAAGTTGAAAAATAATTATTCATATCTGTATTTAAGGTGTGCGTGCGTGTGTATATGCGTGTGCGTGTGTGCGCGCGCGTGTGCGTGCGTGCGTGCGTGTGTGTGTCCCCCATATTGAACGGCCTACCTTTGAACATATTGGGCAGCCCACAGTGATAGTCTACTCAACATGTATTTTTCTCAAAAATTAAATACACCAACAAATACATACACCTGCAAGGAAAGGAAATCCTCCATCGCCCGGGGCGGTCTTAACAATAGAGTTTTCCGACTTAGTCAAAGCAGATATCCTTTATAACCGAGCTCGACATAACAGATGTTCGCTATATACGACTTCATCACAGGTGTTCGATACAAGCGCTGTCATGACATTTCAATGATAAACTAATGCAGAAGGTTGTGAGGGGAAATGGTGGTTGATGGAGCGAATGCCACGAGCAGGATCCAGCGTTAGTGACTTAACAGACTGGGAGGAAACGTGAAGTAAGGATGTTGTGGTACTGTCACGGGAGGAGAGGGACGAGGGAGAGAAAGGGTAACTGTTCCCAGGGTATTGCAGCTATTGTCAATTGTAGCACCAAAGACGAGAGTACACCAACCACCAAAATGAATCTATAAACTCGGGCGGATACCGTCGATCTGGCCGGTACTGTTTTGCAGGAGTCCGGTTTTAACAAGTTCCAGGTTAACGAGATATGTGTACGGGTATTTTGTCCTTTGGTTATGTATATACAAGGATGTCCGCAATAACCGTGTCCCAACCGGACAAAATTTCTTTGGACATAATCCCACCCCAAAATGACCAACAAGGGGTCCCACTGTACACACTAATGTAATTTGATACAGTACATAACAGTGTAACTTGATACAGTTTATCAACAGTCAGGTAGCAGCAGCTTCAACAATGGCCACCAATCAGAACTTTGAACTGCTCCTCGTTTGTTTGATATTTCTGTTCATAATCTGCGATATGAAAAGGAAATATACTTCTCTATTCTGTCAAGTCATGCTTAAGAACACTTCATTACGTTCTATGTATTGCCGTCATAACGTTACAACATAAATGGGTTTATGGCGAAGATGCTCGTTTTGTTTCTGTGTGAACTTCAAGTCGGCCATAACGTTGTTATAATCCGCCGTCAAGACCTTTGAGGGCAACAATCAAACAACGCCTGTAACGTATACACTTGTATTATCTACGTAAGTTTATGACTCATTGTTCGTGTCCAATAACAATAAACGTTTCAAGAGTCAGGTTATGTAACAGTACACATGATCGGGTTATCCGGATACTGCCGACCACCTTCACTGCCACAGGTGGCAGGTCGGTTATATCATTTATTGCGCTCATCCGGTTGAAAGTATTATCATTTTGCAGGTTACGGAAATGTCGCGGATGGAAACTGTCGTATTTCGGTTAATGTGTTAACTGTCTTATTTTCATTGTGGACGAGCGTTGTTGAAATGTTAAAGTCTTTGTTGAAATGTTAAAGTTAATAGTGTGTATGCGTCAGCCGCTGGGGGAGGCGGAAGAGGTGGGCGTCCTATACACTGGAATATACTGGGCTGGGGTTACGACGTGAAGAATATACAATCATACACAAGAGCGCGCTCGCACTCACATACACACAGAACTCTTCCTACACACACACACACACACACACACACACACACGCACGCACGCACGCACACATATAGTCTGTCATACAGACCCTCAAGCAAATATATCCAAGATATCCTACGCAAGTCTAGAAAACATGGTAAGTCTAGATTTCCACAGCTTCAGGAAGTCTCAGGGCTCCTTTTCATTATATTTATTTGTTTTCACTATGAGATTTTTTCTGTAAAATATCTTCATTTCAGAGACTAGTTGTTAGTTTAACACACATACAAACAGTAACGTAATGCTAGACTAACACTATATAGTCTCTGAATATATATAATTCTGATACAACCAAACAACTTTTTAATTGAAAAGGAGCCCAAGTGAGATGGGAGTCTCAGGACCTGAGGACGTCTAGACTTGCTTCGTTTACAGATTTAGTATTGCCGAAATGGCCTGGCAGAAGGGGAAATAATGTGGTTCAGGGACTGTGAGATAAACTTCGGCGATGTGAGCGACCCGGGATTCGTGTCGTGTTACAGAGCGAGTTGAGTTTTCGCTGATCTTTTCATTCGGCGGGCCCCTCCACCGTCACAGCACAGCCACCCCCTCCCACAACAGAAAGCCTTCTACTTAGAAACCTGTATACACGATCTGTTTACGTACTCATTAATACAACTTTGGTTAAATAAGAATTATTTAAACTTGTGTATGGTAATGAATTTTAACCGTTTATCAACGAGCTAGTTAACGTAAATCAGGTATATAAATATCGATTCAAAACGAGCCGTGTTTGAACAAGGGAGCTGTATGAACTCGGGTACACGACGTCAAGCTCAATATCGTGAATAATCGGGAAATGCACAATCACGACAGACGATATGCCGTCTTTGTTTAACGTTCCCAAATGTAAAGTGGCTAAACTGAAGAAAAAGAAATAAACTGATGCGTGGGGCGTTCAGTTGTTTCGTTTATATTTCATTAATAGGCTGATACATTAAACATTGGGCTGCTCTTCCACTGCAGTGCTGTATAACAATAGCCGTTACACTGAAGCAGAGGCAGGAGTGGTCGAGTGAGCAATCGCTAGGGTACAGCCATCAATTCATATGTATCAAGTAACCATGGCGATTCGATTTCGGCGTGTTCAGTTCAAATTCAATTCGGTTAAATCATACTGCGGCGTAGTCTGCCATGACCGGACAGCGGACCACGGAGAAGCGGCGATGTTTCACACGTCTTATATTAACTTTTATAAAAGTTCAACTGAACATCGATCTCGACGACTAAAGCCCGGATCGTGCGCTGTCTTCCGTTAGTTAGCCATTCCGAGTGTTGCAACACGAATACATGTGTCATGCAGTATGGTCGATTTCACTCGTCCGGCTTCTGATTGGCTCGGAACTCCTCAACACATTAATCAATTCCTCACAGACACGTGCTCGCTAGCGCTTCTGTTTCTGTAGTAAAGAAGACTTTGTGTTGTGTACGAGGGTGTATGCTAGCTCTCCAAGAATGTCATTTCCCACAATAAACTCTATCCGCGTAGCATTGGTGAGAAAAGCGAAGCGACACAGTTATCGCTGAGCCTCTGAATGTGCGCTGCCAATCCCGTCACCCCGCGATGCGAGCGCTCTATTCAAGTCATTTGAGATAGTCTATTGAGGGAGTTCAGACACTAGTAAGCTGTGCTCGCCGTGAAATGGGTGCTTGTATGTTTGACCACGCGGAGGTATCGCTTATGGATATTACAGAACTCACGAAACCTCACGGAAATTACCGCAGTGGAAAATTGACTTAATCACTGTTGGCATTAAGTGGATACGGGCCCGCAGAAGGAGGGAAACCGACGCTAGATTACCCACCGATATCTATCCGAGTCGGCGGTGCACGTGAAATAGACAGGCGAACGGCGTGCAATTGTCATGGAGCGATTTAACTTGGAAAACACGTACCACGGGGATTGTTTGTGAAATCTACATGTTGTGGATCTGGTCTGCTATGGAACCTTAATGGTGCTATATTCTGTGGTTGTCCGTTTCAGTCATGGAGTACCGCGTGGATGTACTGCTTCTCATAGCGTTCATATCGGAAACTATAACAGGTGAGGCATATGTGTTGAAGACTGTCACCGCTAGTTAATGTTCATGTCAATTACACCACATGTATCCCAACTACCCGTCATGTCTGTCATTGCACGATGACTGGAACTTATTTCACTTTCAGCGCATGATTGATAGATGTTGTAGTGATCAGGCATGTTGGCCTTAACTCGATAGATGAGCTCCTCACAAAGACATGCTGCTTGTTAACGAGATCTGACACCCTGCTGCCAGTGGGACGACAGTTTGAATTATCTTAAAATTATGGAAAATTGACTGACAGATGCACGCATTGGTTTTGCTGTTGTGAGACTGCTTCCATTTAGTATGTCTGTAGCTGCCAGGAAAACATTATTTACCTTCAGAATCGCCGTGAATAATCCACAGGTTATAGGCGTGCATATGTGAATCGGAATGTTGATAGATGATATATTTTAATTTAAGAATCATCCCCCATGACGTCCTTTTGTTCATGTATGTAGGTCGGTATACGCTGACACAAACACGGACACAGACACACTCAGAGACACATACACACACAGACACAAACACAGACACACTCAGAGACACATACACACAGGCACAGACACACTCAGAGACACACACACAGACACAAACACAGACACACTCAGAGACACATACACACAGACACACTCAGAGACACACACACAGACACACTCAGTGACACACAGAGACACACACACACACACACACATATATATATAATAACCGTATTAAAACATAAACACAACGGGGGATGATTCTGAGAAGATAAAACATATCTGAGATCAATGGCGTTCATTTTCATAACGATATCTGGATCATTAATCAAACAAAATCAACTGGTTATCGGTGAAGTTTTATCATTTATTCGTAATGACACGGTCGATATTGATGTTACTTCCTTGAATATTGGCGAATGGAAATCATATTTGTCTGCAGCATTTCAGAGGTATAGACTTTCAGTCGGCGCTGAATTTGTGATATTCAGCGACGCTCCGTACATTCTAGTGTATTGAAAACATTCGGTATGGCGTGGTCGACCTCAATAAGGGTCATCTACTGAAAAAAAACCAAAACATATGGCTTTAGTTGTCACAGCGTGAGAACAATCTCAGATTACAGAAAACATTCTTTTCTCTTATTGAAATCATTTCTTCGTTTGTAAACCTGCGAGGGTGTAACAAGTGCCTTATTATTATGTATGGAGTTCAACAGCCAGGACCCAAGTGGTTCAACTCGCCAGTTTAATCTGTATACGGACACAAGCCACTGGGCTTATTATAGACTTTACTTAAGTCGCTGGAATTAAGATATTGTGTTGAGTAGGGATGTGTATTGGCAAATAAATTCTATTGCAATATATTGCGAGTCATGTACCCATATTGCGATACGTATTGCGATATATTGGGAACTTTAGTGTTTGACACTGAGTGACACTAATTGGGCATGTCAATCCTATTTTCTACATCAAAGTCCCTAACATATATGTTATGCTTCTGATAACAGCAATTTCAAAATTAGGTTGCATAGTCAGGGATTCTATTTTCTTTTTTTATACAATTATAGTATTACAGTATGCCGTTCGGTCACTGAATAACGAAGGGAAACATTTGTTGTGAGTGAAAGTTAGATTTTAATTTAAACCATTTAGATACTAGTAATCACAAACAAATTCCTTTGTGTTCTTTAACCAATACACCGGTTCTCAGAAAAATATATATTGCAAAACGTATCGTTTGAAAAGCGTATTGCGATATACCGGTATATCGGTAATACCGTGCAGTCCTAGTTGTATGTGATACATAATACAATGGAGCCCAGGTAACACTGCTCTGAAGAACTGAAAGTTTACCAAAGTATTGAAGACTTGGGGGATGTGTCTGACATGTTTGTTTCTTGCTCCGTGTCACAGCACTCTCAGGGATGAAGCTAAACATGTATGACATCTTAGCATTATATCTTCCAAAGATTTGTAACTCCTTAGTCCCGGCAAACAATGAGGTGCTTTCTGTCCGAATTCTTAGCGTGCAGCAGGATCCGCTGCTGGTAGGCTCGAACCCAGATGCTTCTGTAATGACTCAGCACTATTAGTTACATGGTATCAATAACTTTACGAATGTGACCATTTGTAATCTGCATCTGTTGGGGTCTCTATCCCACCTGAAGATTGTTGAAATCGGCGTTAATTCAACTTACTCAGTTGACGTGACGTCATTAATGTGTAGCGTGACCCCGACAGATTATATGTCTCATTGGAAGCAATATACAGTGGAATTCAAAGGTAAGCCGCTGCTCGTGTAACGCTAATGTGTCCTGGCAAACAAAACCAATATATTGAGCCGGGTATATGCGAGATTGACACTTGGCTATTGACACGCCTAACCGTTCCTTTGAACATGACATTTTGCGACACTTGTCTCTTTCAGTCTTGCTAGGTATTCCTGCGTATTGATGCCCTCAGCTTGAATGAAACACCCAGTATAAATATGGTGTACAACTGCTTGCCCATTGATCGCTATAGTGTCATGTACAACGCAAACATACATTGCTTGATAGCTTGGGTACACCAACACATAGAACACATATGTCGGTCTGAGCGTCTTTTCCATGGCAGATCTATTTTCCTGTTTTTGTCCTTGCATATTTCGATAACTAATTCCAAGATGGGTTACATTAATTCATATGCCGAGAAAGTAACGTTACGTTATGACTGCAGCTGATATCCTCATGTATATGTCAACTGGGCGGTGGTTGGAGGTGCCTGACCTTCCAAGGCTGACAACCATGGCGTAACGCGATAATGTCAAGGTTTAGGCACAGGGCATATGTATTATCGTCACGTGTTTAATTGTTGCGAAATGAAAACAGCGATAATTATGTGAGTAAATGTAACTGAATCAGAATGAGGCCAGATTCCTAGATTACAGCGCTAACGACACAGCGCGAAGAAGCCAGTCAGCATCAGTAACTCATAGACGGTTTATTACCACTCATAACTGGGTGATACTGATTCCGCGAGAGGATGGTACACAGCCCGTTTATCTAAATATAGCACATCCTTTAGTTTCATTTACACATGACATGTTCCACAGCTGAAATATTCACGATTGGCTATGATCAGTAATTATACACAACAGTACGTACTTACACTTATGTTGAATGAGTCAGTGATACACGTTGCCGTGCAGGGTACTCAGTGGTACAGGATAGTATATAAGGATACGCGTTGCTACACAGCAATACATAGGAAATACATACGTATTGGTACCCATTGATAAACGGTGACACACATGCTATACATGTTGCACACACTGTTATAGAGTGACACATATCAGTACGAAAGTATGTAAATTGATACACACCGATAAACGGGTATATTGGCACGATATGAGAGTTATGGGTTTTGAAAATTTATTGAAGTTATGAATTTCGAATATTTGCTTGGTTTTTCGTTGTTATCAAACATAACCCTTCAGGAAAATATGCTGCGTGCACTCGGTGATTCGTTTTTGAAAACGCGATATATGCACAGCTATATCAACACATGCAGAGGTTCAAAGGATATGATGTATTGACCGACATTGGCAGCAGCTGCAGCAGCGAGTGTTTCCGCTGTATCCACACACATAGCTTGTACGAGCATCTGATGAGGACGCACGGTATAAACGATTCTAACACAATGCAAATACATCGGCAGTTGACCTTGACTGGGTCTTGGCGTTCACTCACGTCCATCCAGGTTTATTTGACTGATGTTTACCTTGGATGTGTTTTACACTACTGCTAATCTACTACTACATGATCTAAACATGCACACTTTCGACTTCCTGTTGTCTGATGTCATTATAGACAGTTCGCCGATTTTCTTGTTCCATTGACAACCAGGATACAATTTCTATGCAAATTCCATACATAATTTCGACGAGATCAACTCTGGATTACCCTCCCAAACGTAACACTGAATATAATGACTCGATGGGTATTATCTCCTTGAAAACATATCACAAAACCACAGCCGGCTAAATGTCTTTCTCTAATAGCAATAACGTGCTTCTAAATGTATCCAATCAGCTTTGATTTGACACTGCAGATGCTGGACTTTACTGAACAATGAAAGTGGCACCTATATAGTTAAATACCAATCAGCTCCAATCTAGAAATAGTAATAAGCAAAGATCCAGTTGTTTAAGACCACTTTAAGATGAATGTTTGTGGCTTTACTAATGTATATGATATTTGAACCAGGTAAATTACTGCAGGACAAGGTAAATACTGGCCACATTTGCACAAATTAATCATCCTGTTCATGGTCACAAGATCATACCAACCGACGTATTTGCATATGTGTATGGACTCATTGTTTCCTATTATCAGAAGCGAGTGGCAGGAAGACGATTTCTGCTTGCGAAAATCGAAGCAGACTAATGTGGATGGTCTAACCGAACAATGGTCAACGTCAGGTGGCTACAAATGTCAGAGTGTGATGGATAGGCTGTGGGTGCGATACTGACACTGGCACAGTTATCTATGGTTTTCGAGGGTCACAGCATTGAGGTGGGATAGGTCCCTTAGAAACCTTGTCCAAGTGACCGATCTCTGACGTCATGTTAACCCACTAGCGTCTGCATTCGCAGGACCACCATAAAAAGCAGATTGCGTTCTGCTTCGTTCACATTGCGTCGTTACTCGTTAGTATCATAAGTCTACATATAAACGTTACGATCGTAGTGCTAAAGCTGTCGTAAGTCTACATATAAACGTTACGATCGTAGTGCTAAAGCTGTCGTAAGTCTATATATAACGTTACGATCTATATGTCGTAAGTCTATATATAACGTTACGATCGTTGTACCTGTCGTAAGTCTATATATAACGTTACGATCGTTGTACTAAGGCTGTCGTAAGTCTATATATAACGTTACGATCGTTGTACTAAGGCTGTCGTAAGTCTATATATAACGTTACGATCGTTGTACTAAGGCTGTCGTAAGTCTATATA